GGAGCCGGTTCCTTCTGTCCACGTACCTTCCCCGCTAACCGCCACCGACGCGATTCCCGAAGGATCAGGATGGAAACTCTCGGTGTCCTCAGTCTTTTCCCCACTGCTGTGACTTTGGCTATATCCGAAACGCCAGGTCAGCCGCAGCGTAGCTGAAGCAGCCACTTCTCCCCCAGCCCCCGGGATGCAGGAGAACGAAAAGCAGGCACCGAGGTCCACTGCAGCCACCCCAGACAGGGAACAACTCTCTGCAGAAGCAGAGCCGATGAACTCGCATATATTCAACCCTGCTCCATTCAGCCCCCAGTTTGACCACGGAGTCTGAATATATTCTTGGAATTATTCTAAACTCAGTTTCCTTCTTTCACCACCACAAGGAGGGTGAAGGGTACCACGGGCATCACGAGGGGGCCGAAGCCTTGCTGAGCATGACGCCTGGCAGCTGAGCTTCTGCATCCTCTAGAAGCAGCATCTCTGACCTCACCGTTAACTTTCAGCCTCAGTTTTAGGCGCTTAGAAATGTCTGTAGCTATTTCACCCAGCAATAACATATGTGACGCCATCCTGCCACTCGAACAGCCTAGAATGAAACACGACAGCATTTTGCAGCCTCCTTAAAGGGAGATAAATGCACCTGCATAACAGGGCTGTTCCCACTTCCTAAAGACTCTCGGCCCATCCTGTGAGAGGAAGACTTCTGAGAGCAATTTCCAGCTCTCACATAGAGCTGCTGTGTGTTGCTTGACGGTTTGTGCACCGGCCTCTGGACCTTCTCCTCCCCTCCGCACACCGAGAACCACCAGGCTCATCCAGCCCGCAGCAAATCACTTCACGTTTGCAAAACGCTGACAGATCCCAAGGCGCCAACACTACCCCGTGCTATTGCTCATTTCTCCCAGATTATTAAAGTCACGCCTGTGAAACGAGGCTTGTAACAGTGACCAAGAGCGAGCGAGCTTTCCTGCAGCGCACCCGCATCTCAGGAGCCCTCCTTGGGGGCCAGCAGCTTATTAACAATGATTTTCTTCCCAAGGAGCAGGCAGGTTGGACAGAACTCCTCTCTCCCGGACAGAGCCATGGACAGGCAGCTCGTGGCGGGGCAGGAGGCAGCTAAACCTGCCCGCTCGCCCTCCCGAGCCGAGCGGGACCCGGCGGCGGGCAGCCAGCTCAGCATCCTCCCGGTACCCAGCCCCACCGCTGCAGTTCCCGTTCAAGGCTTGGTTTTTCCTCCACAAGTGCTTCAACTCTGGGTCTAAGGCACTTGGGAGCAAACTTTCCAAGGCGCTTTAATATTGTGTAACCACGCTACGAAGCAAAGCGGCCACAAATCATCTTCCAGCTGCGTCCTCGAGCGCTTGAGAGAGGGTCGTGCTGAGTAACCCCCCCCCACACAAATAGCAAGGGGTTTCCCTTTTGTCAATTTTTTCCTCCTACCTGCTCTGGCTCCCCAGGCGTCTGGAGTTCCCCCGGAGGTCTCCCGCGGACAGGAGCGGCCTGGGATTGAGGATCTATGTTATTTACTGCACTACAATCAAGTAGCGTCCCGGTCGCCTAGGCGATGACATTGGAGCTGCTGAAAGCTATGTGAAAAGTGAGGCAAAGGCTTGCGCGCTCCTTCCTGGAATAGGAGCCAGTCGCAGGGGGGTGGGGAATGCTCAGCCAAGCGTGCCGGGGAATTAAGCTGGTCACCAGTGCCAAAGGGGCTCGGGGGCAAGCTGGCTCTCGGGGCTCCGGCAGCCACCCGGCAGCACCGCGCCCGGGGCGGCTGCGGGGG